CACACGGAATCCATGGCGCCAAGTAGCCACCTCTCCCCCCCCCCCCCCCTCTCTCTCTCTCTCTCTCTCTCTCGTCCGCGCGCGCGCGCTGTCGCACTTTTTCCAGTCGGGCCCCTTCGGACCATCGGAAAGCCAACAGGTTGTCACGGAGGATTTTATATGTGGCTTGCAATAAATAAATTAAACTAAATAAAGCAAATCTCTTCCTGTTGTGTGCGTCCGGCTTCGAGCAAGACCCTTCAATTGCGGTCTTCGCCGGTCCCCGGTCTTAGGAATCTTTTATTTTGATTCGGAACAGCATAGAATGACGCAAATAATAATCATGGAGTTTTGAAGTGTCATGCATTTATCAATTGTGCAATTTCTGATTTTGAGAACTTTGACTGAATAATCAGGGAAAGCAATCATCAGCGAGAGCAATGCAAGAAACAAGACAGACTGACTCGAGCAATAACAAGTTCAAATGAGGGAAGAATGAGAACTCATAATAGTCTCAGAAAGTACATATGTAGGGAACACGGCCAGCCCCAGTTAAGAGTCCCCACTCATCCCTCCGAATCTCATGCTCAGTTTCTCACTTTGTTATGCGTTTCTTGTGCCTCGTGCCATGTCCCCGTACTTTCTGAGGTTGTGGTCTTTATATATAGAGCGACCTATAGTTAGCGAGATTCAGACTCTTCCATCCAAGTCCCATGATACGAAAGTCAACCATGGCACAAAACTCCTCCCATAGTGTAGGAAGATACGGCTGGGAGAAAATCCCTCATCTGAGATGTGGGAACTCTGAGGGGTCTTTCACTGCCTCGTAATCGATCACTGCGGGTGAAATGTACCTCTTTGCCAGATCTATCAGGTCGCCCCAACAAGAGTCGTCAGTGAGAATGAAGGGTACTGGAGGCTTGGGATAGTCGGTGTAGAGTTTGGGCCCAAAGCTGTGGATCGACTTTATTCCACTCTCATCACACTCCCTCCTTTTCTCCTCCAGGTGCCTAGCTGCTTCGGCCCAAACTGAGTCAAAATGCTCATGGGACTCCTTGCCTCTCTTCACATAGGGTCTGAGGTCATCGATGGTGCCTTCAGCAAAACAGGTATGTACAACGAAAATTGACAGATCCCCTCGGCTGAAGCCAATAGCGCTGATGTACTGATATCTGATAACATCTTTGAGTGCAATTCTGTTGAGACTAACCAAAACTATCTCGCTGACTCCAAAAGACTGAACTGTACTCATGAGTGTGATGACTGCTACTTTTCTGAATGTCGTGTCTCGAAGATGCACTGAGTGCCAGATTGTTATTCAAGTGCCGCTCACTTGTCTTTCGAGCACTGTTGGAATGCTATTTGAGTGCTGCTTGAGTGTTTGACTGGGTCGAGATGAAATCCTGACTATATCTTGAGATGACGACTAACTGCTGCAAATTGCTGCTTGTCGGATAGTTGAAAGTTGAGATGAGTGCTGACAGGGTGTTGCTTGAGAGCTATTGGAGTAATAAGTCACCGTACCATGGTCACTTAATGACTGGAAGCAACTGCAGTTTTGCTAGCTGATATCCAATATCCATGATACTATTATAATATTGATCGAACACTGATTATATATTGATTGATCACCGATTGAACACTGACTGAAAACTGATTGTATGCTGATTGATCACTGATTGAACACTGAATGAAAACTGATTGTATGCTGGTTGGTCACTGATTGAACGCTGAATGAAAACTGATTGCATGATTGCCCACTTGATAACGACACGGAGTATTGCTCGCTCAATAACAATGTTGAGCATTAGCCACTGATAAATGACACCGAGCACTGCTCATTGCTAATCAGCACCGAGCATTGCTCACAGAAAACAACACCGAATACTGATCACTGCTAAGCACTACTCACTGATAACAACACCGAGCACTGATCACTACTGAGCATTGCTCACGGATAACAGTGTCGAGTACTGATCACTGCTAAAAACGCTGAGTACCGAGAGTTGCGTGCTGCTTACTGACTGGATTCGCTGGCGAAGTCCTCGAGGAAAGGAATCTGAGCACTCTCACACTCCCTTCGGCTTCAGCCTGGTCTGTTCGATCACCTCGATGAACGAGTAGATACTGTGTAATTTTCTGTCTAGTCCGTAAATGTAGAGGGAATACTCAACGAGTTCCTGATCCCTTACTAGCTCTAATGCTTGCTCCATCATGCATCTGAGGTGCGAATGGATATCCTGAGCAACATTTTCTTCCCAACCCTTCGTTTTATCTCGATTCGTCATGCAAGTCCCTCTTAGCATATTCTTACTTCCAACATTTCCGCTGATACCCATCGCATAACGAATGTTTGGCTTGAGTTTGTGTACCAACATGGTTATTAGAACCTAACCGAACGTCACTTTGTCCCCAATAAAGAGATATAGATTAGCGGCTGATGGATAGGATTGAACATGAGAAGCTCCCCTGGACTGATAAAACACCCATCAGTTAGCTAATCTTACTGAGAAAATCTAGCTGCTACAAATGCGTTGGTAAAAGACATTGATTGAAGAGAAACGAGATATCCCAAGTGTGTAGCTACGCTCGGGCGATTTCTGGTTGCTTATAGAGTGATCCATCGAAGGCAGAAGTAGAATATTTGACTGATCAGACCCAAGTAGGCATACTGCTAACCCAATTGAGTGTTGTCCCTTGGTAACACCATGTAGCCTCTTTACCTTTACTTCTAAATGCTTAAGGAAGTTGATTGCCTGAAACGTCCTTCAGCCAAGTCGGTTAATATTTACAGCGTCTATGCGGACGCTTCCCTCAGGCGTCTCCCTCTCATCTCGCATTGCGGTGTGTTAGAGATCTCGACTTATAATCTGCTGCGTAGTCTTTTGCAACTTGACTGCTGCTGGCTAACTTAGGTCGGCTAGAACCAGATAGAGTCAGGAAAGTTACAACACTGAAGTGCTACTAGATATGGCTCATACTTTTGCGACCCAAGAAGTTAAGTCCTGGGAGTATTACCAGACACAACCTGGATACTTGCAATCAGACTCGCAAGTTGTTCTCGTTAAAGGTATTGCTCCGAGCACATTTAGGACTCAAAGCGTACGAATGAGTTTAGGAGTACCACAAATAACCAGCCCAGTTTTATCAAGGCAATAAGACTAGCAATATACAATCAAGGATCATCAGACTCTGCTGAGTAGATCCGCTCTCAACTTCGTTCACTCATGTTCCAACCAGATGTGCTGCACTCAACAATCTCAGCCAGGGTA